TAATTTATAACCATTCTACGTTTTCCTCTTTTTAACTCATTATGATTTTCTACATATAATGCTGGTGCACTATGTGGGCTTATACTAGGTTGTATAATACCATTTTCTAACATCTTAGTAGTTTCTTCTTGAAATTCCTTAACATCTCTTTCTGTATATGGTATTCTATTTGGCACATTGACTTCTTTGCTTGGATCTATTAATTCGATTTTTACTATCATGCTATTTGTGTTTTTACTTGGATCTAATGGATTTTGACTACATATGTTTTCTAATAATTGATCAACATGTTATTCTAATGTTGTACTTATTACTTTATAAATTTGAAGTGATACTTTTCTTAATATCTCCCCCCGTATGAAAGAAGATGTGATATATTTTTGTAGTAATTATTTTACTAGATTGTGTATCTAGTTGTGGACATCTAAGACTTATACTATTTAGTCTTTGAATAAATGGGTTATATAACTTAAGGAAGTTATTTCCTATTATAAATGGTAAACCTGTATTTTGCTTATAAAGACTTGGTAAAGGAAATCTTTTTCCTTCTATTAACAACACTAAATCTGTTGCTCTATAATCAATACTTATTGTCTTATTATTTGCAATTCTTACTATAATCGGTTTTTCTAATTTCTTCCAATATTTAATAGGTAATATAGATTCTTTAGCTAGACATATTGTTGCACCTGTGTCTATATATGCTAACAGAAATTTGTTAAATAATTTAACTTTTATAAATGAACTATTTTTACTCATCTTCTGTTTCAGATGATTCCAAATCACTATCTGTTTCTGATTCTAAATCATATATATCGAAGTCTAATAGTTCACCCTCTTCGTATTCTTCTTCTATAGGTTCATAACCTAAAGAAAATATCATTTTTAATTTCCTTTCTTTTTCTGGTATGTTTTTAGGACATTCGTTTGCATAATGTCCTATTTCTTGACATTTCCAACATCTGCAATTCTTTTTCCCTTTAGGACAATATTTGGGTTTTCCTAAATATTTTTCTTGTTTTCTAAATTTTCCTTTGTATTTTGGTTTCCATGGTTTTCTAAATGTTTTATATCTTCTTGGCCTATATCGTATGTTAAACTTATTGTATTTATAATATCTTTTCTTTTTATATGGTTCATGATAACCAAATTCTTGTGGCACACTTTCTAATTGTTTACAACATCTTGAATCGACTTTAGTCATTTCATGATGTTCTATTTTTCTTATACAAAGTTCATCTCTATATTCTTTTGCATATTTTTCTAAAATTCCTAAAGTTTTTTCTTCTCTTGTTTCATTAATCTTCTTCTAAATATATTTATTCATTTCATATTTAAGTTTACTTTCAACAATTTCTATTAATCCTGATCGATCCTTAATTTTATAAAAATTTTCTCTTACTTGACAGAAGAAATTTTCGATATAACATATATTACATAACTTCATGTTAGTTAGAAATCTAACTACCTTATCTTTTTTAGTTTCTTTTGACTCTTGTCCTGTAATTCCTAAAAATTCCCTTAATAGATTTTTTGCTAATTCTCTTAAAGCTGTTATTTTATATTCTGATCCTGTTTCCGAACCACTGGCTTCGAGATTAAGTAGGATTTGAGTATTTTCTAGAT